GTCTTCAGTCAGGTGGCACATTTCTCAGATTACTGGGACTCTGTACAGGGAGCCACAGCATTTATGCTCCATCAGTATGTCTTGTTTACAGATGCTTGTGTCTGCACTTAATATGCAGCTTTAAAAAATACTGTTTATGGTTCTTGTTCCTATTTGAAGCAGGTTAGTTTTTACTATCGAGAATAATGTTGGCTAATAATCTTACTGAAGCTTACTTTGTTCTCCTTTGCATTCATAAAGACTTTGTGTTAAAAACTATTTGTAACTCAGTAGTGTTACAATCTCATTTAATTGTTGACTGAAAGCCTGAACAATAATGGCACCTTTCAAATTTTATTTTATTTTAATTTTTTTATTTTGGTTTGGTTTAGTTTGGTTTTTGCTACATGGATTGGATTCCTGTATTTCTTAGTTAATATTCCCTTGGTAGAAATTATTTGGACCTCATTTCTAGGATTTAGTTACCATATGAAGTGAAAATTTAAAAGCATTGTTCTATTGCAGTGAGACAGCAGAGACACCATCAATATTTTCTGTGCTGAATGATTTTTGGGGCTGATGCAGATCTCCTTCACATGGATGTAGCTCAAGAGCAGCTCCACTGATATGAGTAGATTTAGATTCCAAAAAGTAGATTTGGATCATGTGGCATTTTGTAGTTAGTTTTTTTCTCCTGATGGCTCTTAAGAAGTGCAAAGGCAAGAACGAAATAGCCCATCATGCACAGAAGCCAACACTGTTTCCTATGTCAGCTCTTGATCTGTCCAGGTGCCCAACAAAGTTGATTCCATAGCAAAGATTCCTCAGGGCTCAAATTTTGCCTCTATTTTTGTGGCACATATTGACAGCTCTGTTCCTTCTTCCATTGCAGTATGATGGGGAAAACTCCTATTGACTTCAAAGGGCAAATGACTAGACCTTGGGGTAAAGCCAAACTCAACAAGCAATATATATTCCTACAGTGACTTGACTGGATATGTCTCACCGGAGATTTTTCAATCCTAAACTTTTCAAAATCAGAGTGAAGTTGCATCTGTAAGAGAATCTAAATCCCATGTTCTCTATAAGGCCTGGGAGCCCACATCTCACAGACAGTGCAACTGTCTGTACAAAAAGCTACACATGCAACCCCAGTCCCCATCAGGCCCTGAGGACCCCTCTCCACCTCTCAGCCAGACTTGTAGGGCGTGTAGCTTGCCTGGGGCAATAAATCATAGCCTCCAGCTCCAGGTCAGACACTTGAATAAATACCCAGAAAAAGGAGGCAGAATATGGAGAGTATGACATCTGCTATTTGTCACAGAATAATGGGATATGAACCTCTGCTCCAGCTGATACTGTCACACTTGCAGAGGTCCCTTTTTCCTTTCCCTACTTAGACATTTTACAGTCACTCTTACAGCCTATTGTGAAAAATTGAAAGCCAAACTTAATCTCTGGCCATCACCTTATCAGTTGAGAAATAGGAAAAAAAAAAAAAAAAAAAAAAAAAAAAAGGGGGGGGGGAGAAAGAGACAAAGAAATTGAGAAAACTCAGCTTTGTAAACTGCAAAAATAAGACACTTGGTAAAAGCTAGAGAAGAGTTGACAAATTATATAAGAACAAATTAAAGACATGTAGTTAAATCATAGAAGTGATAGAATTCAGGGTGTCAGACCTTTAAAGACAGGTTTTGCCAAATTAACCTGATAACTTCTCTGGTAAGATAACTGATTTCTCTAGAGCAGTGAAATGCAGTAGATCTCATCTATCTGTACTTCAACAAAGCATCTGACATGAGGACATGCAGGAAATAGCGCAGCTGGAAAAGATGGGGACAAATACAGGATTTATACCAAGTATATAAAATTGCCTGATGAGGAGGCAATAATGGTTGTGTTGAAAGCAAAAACTGATGTTGGATAAAGGTTCACAATTAACAATCTGCCCTTGAAATGACTTATATTTTTTTAGATACCTCAGCACAGCAAAGCAGGAGTGTAAAAAAGTTGATGTGAACATAAAGTTAAGAGATTTTGTCTGTGCAAAAGAGGCATCATATTGTGATATGTGGATTGACTTTAAATTTGGACGATCGGGAATAATAGAAGCAGGCTGAAATTCACTTAAGGAACAGTAAAAATAATATCTGCTACAAGCAGAAAACTCAGAAGTTGGAAAAATAATGGAGAAGAAATTATTGTATGTACCACTTGCACCACTCTAATCAATTCTAGTTCTAATCAATTAATCCTAACTGGAACAAATGTATGGAGAAAGGCACTCTGTTCCCCTGAACATGCTAGCCTTTATCACACAGAAGACTATCTTGCTAGCAAAATGGAGAGAATGTAACTCTTCTCTATTAATATTTGCATAGTAAGGTACCTACCTGGAAAAGCACACTTCTGAATAATTGTGAAATGTCTCTGAGTAGATAAAACCTTGAACAGAACTTAAACATCTCTTGCCTTCTGTATTCAGTTGTTTCTTTTGCACAGACCATGTCTGGTTTCAAAAATCACAAATCATATTATGTGCCAAACACAACAGCATTTGCTTATAGTCCAGAAGGAGAGCGTGCATAGTTAATACAATGAGTCCCATGGCAGTGTGAACTTAGATATATTCCTGTTCAAAGAATTATTACAGTACCTGAATATTTTCATCTTTTTCTTGGCCTCTCATCAGGTTAAGAAATCTGTCTGATCTAATGTTGAGCTGTCAGTTCACTATCCCAAATAGACCCCATCTGTTCTTTCACAGGCCATGACTAGTAGTTATTCTTGGAGATGGAGAAATTCTGCTCCTATAGTGGTGATTTTGGCCAAGGCAACTGTCCAATATACCTGCCAAACCAGGTTTTCAACAAGAAAGTATCATCAAAAATTGAGGTACATTGCTGTCTGACTCTGCCAGCTGTAACAAGTGTTCTTTGCAGCAAGATGCAGAGTCAAAAAAAAGTCATGATCTTTTTAAAGACTATTATGTTAGGAAATGTAGACACAGTAGTGGGGAAAATGTAGGAACAAAAGTCATTCAACAGCTGAATAGGATTGAAAATTGTTGCTTTTGCTTTTAGGAATGTTGAGTATTTTTCTCTCATTTATTTTGGTCAGGAATCACCCCTGAGAAGTCATCAATGTAAAGAAGCAATATCTGAGAGGAAGAAACCTTGTTTTCTCTACCCAGATATCGCAGGATATCACCCTGATATCATGATACTTCTTAGTTTCCAGATTTTCCTTTATACAAAAGGTCTGATTTGGAAAAAAAAAAAAAAAAAAAAAAAAACATCAGTGCATGAAGAGGAACTGGGTTGAATATCAAAATGATGATGAATAGCTTATTTTAAAACATTTCATATACCGAATTTTTTGTGATTTGGGTTTAAGTTTCTTACCAGACAGTCCTTTCTTTGCCTCCAGTGAATTTAAATATCTAAATGTCAATTTCATTAGTTTACTTCCCAGCTATATATTACCCATTGTTTTTAATTCATTAGAATAACTTGAAACTGTTGGTGTCTAAGGATTTAATTTTTAATTTATGTAATTTACTTGAGAAAATATGCTGCCTCAGGAATCATAAGTTTACTTGCAGTTTCCTTTTTTGAGTGCACATTTTACTGAAGTCCATGCACGTTTATCATACTGCATAAGAACAGGTAATTTACCCCAAAAATGTATATAAACCCAAATATTCCTCAGCATAAAATATGATTTAAGTAAGTTCCTTTAAAACACAAGCCTTTGAAAAAGTTAAACCTTTCATTATGCCCTTCAATAAATTTCTAGTTCTGTCAAATGTTTATATCAAGGTTAAATCAAGCACAGTCAAGGGCTTTACAATTAAAAAAATCTGCAGCAACCACCTGGTGCTGAAAGTGGGAACATTATTTCCATTATATTATAATTTCGTCAGTGACAGTCTTTTAGGTATTTGACACCAATACATCTTTCACAGGCTGAAGTGAACATCTTGAAATTTTTCCAGAAAACAATATGAAGCTTATTTGTCTGGGAAAGAACTAAGATAATATTTTATATCTAATGTGATTAAGTAAATAAACAGCTGTGATTTCTATGAGTTATAACATCTTCTTGGGCTTCAGGTTTAGCCCATGGCAGAGCAGATGGCTGTAATCTGATCTGATAAGGAAGCTTAGATAATTGCAATGGTAAAATAATTTTTGAGAGGGCCATTAATAAGTACCTAACCTGACGCAAATGTAAGGTGGCATTCTCGGGTGATCATACTATCTGAGATACTCATTTCATTAAAGGATTTAAGAACAACTGAAACTGCAGGGCTTTGGAATGAGAAATGGAAAAAATGTTCTGCTACTGGGTTGAAAAAACATCTTGCCAGAACCTCTTTCCTTCTCCTCATTGCTATAGATCTTGAGGAATACCTTGTATTCCATCTCTATTATACCCATTCACGTTCTAGTATCCAAGGAACAGTGTAATATGAGAGACTTTGCATATAGTTTCCACAAAGGTGGGACATCATCCCTTTAAATCGTTCCTTCACTGGTCTCCTGAAGTCACACCCTTCTCTAGCAATACCAGTGAAAAAAATATACTTGCTTGTAAACCAGCTAAATAGCCACCCCAATAAAAAATAACACCAGGCTCTCCATAAAATGGCCAAAGTTAAGTGAGCTGAAATTGTTTCAGTAGAAACTTAAATGAACAACATAATCCAAATGTTGTTTCTTTCAAGGAAAACTTGAACAAAAAAAAAAAAACAAAAAAAAAAAAAAAAAAAAAAAAAAAAAAA